AAAAAAAAAAAAAAAAAAAAGCCCAAATCTGAAAAGTGTCAAATAATAGCAGGATAAACATGTTAGAAAAATCGACTAAATACAAGAAGTCACACTTAAGATTTGAAAGTGGTTCTCTCTAGGAACAGGAATTAGGGATAGGGAGAAAAGAAACTGGGTATAGTTTTTATTATTATTATTACAAGTCTAGCACTATTTGATTTTTTAAAAACAAAATTCATATATTATTTTCCCCAAAATACAAATTTATCAAGAAAACACAGAACACTGCAAGAAAGTCAAGCAGTACTACAGTGTATAAGGAACAACACAGACATCCTCCACCCCCATACACAGCCCCTTTCCCAGTTTTAATTTGATTGAGGAAAATTTATGTTATTTTACTATCCTGCTTTCTTTCTTTTTCTTTGGCTGTTTTTGACTTGTTTTAATGGATTTTTGTCACTCATTTGGGGTTTTTTCCTAAAGGATCTTTTAAAAGAAACTCTAGGCCAGATAAATTATAGTGAGAGAGAACAGTAGCCTGGGAGCAAAGAAATTTGCCTTCTAGTCCTCTCTGCCACTAATCAGCACTGTGATCCTGGGAACCGCCCTTTCTTAGAACCATTATAATCAACTTTTAAGAAAACAGCAGAATAAGATAATATCTCAGTGCTCCCCTCCCCCAATACCAGCACTGTGAAATTCTGTAGAGAAAATTTTATACCTTGCTAAGGATGGAGAACCAGCATATTCCTAAAGGCCAGATGTGACAGATAATGTTACTGCCTAAAAATAGCCATTGCTCCCACCTTATTCCTTGAAAAGTAAAACCTAATTTTATCACAGGGGCAACACACCTTCTCCCAAAAATGAATCATGATTGATCTGGGTCAATGACAGTAATCCTATTTCCCTTTGCCAGTTACTCACTTTCCCAGCATTGCTTCACAGCTAAGAGTTACCATGTGACACCGTATTGGCCAATAGGAGTTAAGATGATAGTTACTGGGAGGAATTGTTATGGAAAATGTTATGTTTTCTGGTTAAAAAAAGATAGAAGAGCTGTCCAACTACAGAAACAAGATCCAGATGATTCTCCTAAGATCTACTTGTGATATTTTAAAGATGCAATAAAAGTCCTCTATTGGGGGAGGGAGGAGGTGGACACTGTTTTGCAAAATCTATTTCCCATCACCTTCAGTGCAGTTATGTCATGTATTTGTACTACATTTAAACACATTTCTAACATTTTGCATTCCATTTTGGTTCCACGTCCATCCTCATTGATATATACAAAAAACATTGCTAGGAATTTAGGATTGTGTTTACTCTATAGATCAAATTGAGAAGAAATGAAAACAAGTGTTCTAATCCATGAATGTAGTGTGTTTTTCTATTTATTTTTTATTTCTTTCAACAGTTTTTTTTTCTCCTCCATTTTCAGCATACAGTGCCTGCAAATATTTTGTGAAATTTATTTTTAAGTATTTAACTTGGGGAATGTTAATAAAATGGCATTTTAAATTTTATTTCAAATTCCAATTGTGCATTGCTGGGATATAAAAATGATTTACAGGGCCGGCCGAGTGGCGCGGTGGTTAAGAGCTGGCTTGGGATGCCAGAGGGCCCCGGACGGATCCCACATATGAGGGCCAGTGACACTGCCCTCTACAGCTAAGATGCTGAACAACAGCTCAACTGGAGCTGGGCTGCCGTGAGTCACCNAGCAACTTGTCTGTTCCCCTTCCCCCAATTCCCCAGCACTGTTCCCATCCCCCAATTCCCCAATAAAAATCTTAAAAAAAAAAAAAAGAAGAAGAAGCTGCTAGGTAGGAATACATGGTCAAAGAAAGGTATATCTCAATACAGCAAAGCTTTGAGCTGAAGATGAAAAGGCAATAACGTGAGATATGTTCAATATCTGAAAGTACAGAGTAAATCTGAAAGAGAAAGATTCCAAAGGAAGTGTGAAAAAAAGGATGAAATCTGAGTAAAAGGAGTTATCTTTGAAGAGGAGGCAGATGTCATTTATTCTAAGAGTTAAATAAAGAATAAGGAACTGTGGATTCAATTCACTAGAACTACAAATATTTACAAAGAACAGTATACCAGGCATTGTTCTAGGGGCTGGAGGTACAGCAGTAAACCATAAGACATTCTCTCTGTTCACATTCTAGTGGACTAGAATTATAAGAATTTACCAGAAATTTTTACTTTAGATTACGGCCCAATTTATAGCAAATCCCTATTGAAAACAGACAATTATGTAAGGTCATTTGAAAGACATACATCCCATCCATTTCTTAAGATTTTCTAGTTTTCTTTTTTAATGAGGTATGACACACATAGAATAATGTGGTACAATGCATTAATCTTAAGTGTACAACCTGATACATTTTTATACATTTATATATTTGTGTACCCACCACTCAGGTCAAAATATAGAATATGTTCAGTACCCAGCAGATTCCCTCATGTCCCTTCCTAGTAAATACCCCTTCAGGAGTAACCACTATTCTGGTTTCTAGCACAAGAGATTAGTTTTACAAGTTTTCAAACTTCACATAAACGAAACCATATAGAATGTACTCTTACTTCCAGCTTTTCTTACTTCACATTTTTGTGAGAATTATCCACATTGTTGTAAGTAGCAGTAATCTGCTATTTTTTTATTGTTGTGTAGTCTTCCATTGCATGCAATGCTATAATTTATCCCCTTTTCTGATAATCTTCATTTGTGTTCTTTCTAATGCTGGGCTACTTTGATATATATTCTTTTTATTTTTTTTGGTGGGGCGGGGGAACAGTGTGTTTTTCCAGGACCCATGAGCTCCAAGTCAAGTCATTGTCTTCAATCTAGTTGTGGAGGGTGCAGCTCCTTGGCCCATGTAGGAACTGAATTGGCAATCCTGGTGTTATGAGCCCGCCCTCTAACTATCTGAGGTAACCGGCTGCCCTGATATATATTCTTCATTTTATTGATCAAAACAGACCATCAAAAAAGCTGTGTTTTATCAACTATAAAAGGCCATACTATAATGTATTCATTGACCTAGGTACAAATGAAAAATTTACTTCTGCTAAGAAATTTTCCTTTTTATCCTTTTGTACAATGAAAATTATGTAATGAATTTCTGCTCTGGTTTGCTTTACCTATAATGAAATTCAAACTTGAAGCCCAAATTTAATCTATCTAAGTGAATGCATTTCTGCAAAACCATATTTTAAGTCTCTCCTGGTTTTAATCTTCCAACTTTATTTCCTCTGAAAATATGCTTTATCTATATAGGATTTTCCAATTTACTGTATAGATTTCTTCAATCCTCTTAAACTATACTGTAGACTAAAGCAGGGAATAAATACACTATTTAAATTTTACCTGGGACTCAGTCATTTCCTCTTCTTTCTGGGGATGGACAGGGCCTGAGAAGGCAGAGCTGGAGAAGAGAATAAAAGCCATTAGACCAGGCTTGCTTTGTGGTTTCAGAAACACACACCACAAGGTAGATTAAAGGGCACCCTGTAGCAAAGGATACTTGGACCCATCAGATAGGCTAATAAGTCCAAGGATGATCACGTGAAGCTTAGGCATAAGGTGGATAGGAATAGGAGTGTGTATGTAGGAGATGCCCCATGAATTTATCAATAGCTCTGTATCAGAGAATAAACAGTTCACATGGAGCTAACTTCATTGTCACCTTGCAGCTGCCGACTGGAATACTCCTGCGCACTGATCCTTTGAAGTCAAAAGGAAGTGTCTTGGAATGCTGAGACCCGAGGGAATGATCTCGGTAAAACTTCCTTATCCGGTGGTCTTGGATTGCTCAGGCCATCCCGGGGATAATACGTAGGTGTGAAAGCACAACTCGTGCTTGGTCACAATAAGTTTCGGGGAAGCAGCTGCTGGTCTAATCGAATCAACTAGCTGGGTAGAGATATTCAAACCTCTTTGTGACAGTTGTAAATACCCGCCAGTATCAGGGCTCACTCTCTCTGTCTGCAGAGATGAGACCCCTGGCCCACAGAAACTCTACTTTTGACTCTTGTGATTTCTTAACCCTTTGCTGCCCCTCCTCGAGCCCCCCAGCCCTTGTCACGTGGGACGTGATACTTCAGAAACCATATAACCAAGAAAATTATGAAACTAACAAAAATCTAAGGTATTTTAGTGTATTGAAACATTTAAAGAGAAATATTTAAGTACCAACTAAATGGGAATTTAACCAAAATGGTAAAATAATTATACTTTGAGGAAGGAGTAGAAAGTTTGTGTGTGAGAGTGATGCGTATCAGAGATAATGGTGGTGGTAAGTTACATTCTTATTTTCCATAGTGAAAAAAAAAAAAAAAAAA